AGAAAAGTTCATTTGGCACGCAAGTCTTTTTCAGGTGTATTTTTTCTAAGGCTTTGTATAAAAAAAGTACAAAAAAGAAAAAAACTGTATAAGGTTGGTCGAATGAATGGCCGTCCTAGTCACCAGTCCCGAGTCTATTCGATTTTTGAGTATGAGGCCTTATTTTGGACAGAAGGGGGAGTATAAGGGACTCAAAATGGAGAAAATTAGCCTATGGTTACAGAAGATATGGAACAAATTAACTGACGAGGACCTGCGTGCCAAATGAACTTTTCTCTCAAAGTTTACACTGCTGGCAAATGTAAATAAGGATTAAAATTTAAAAACTAATTAATACAACTAAAGTAAAATCTGTGGAAAATTAACAATAAAATAACTTTTTCACAAAATCAATAAAGGACTCTTCTATTTCTCAAAAAAACCTGGGTAACAGTTATTCGTCGCCACGCTGTAAATCCATTAATAAGCTTTTTGCAAGGATCAGATGTGTATTTAACATAAAACATTCTAAGTTTCAGACAAATTTGTCAATAACGCTTTCAGTGTGAAACAGCCTTAAGTTAGATACAGCTATTTTTGACAGATATTCCATTGACATTTACGTCAAAAAACTAATACTAACCTTAGAGCCGACTTCATCTTAACTGTATCTACGGGGCATTGTTTTTAAAATCATCAAAGCTGCATTTTTACCTTTAAAAATCTGCTACAAGTATATGGAAAAGTAAGCTATACGCAGACGGAATTGCAGGTAGATAATTTCAAATCGATCCAGCTCACGTAAATCTTTATATTTTAAATATAATTGCGATGGAAAAAAGTGTTTTTTTTTTGAAGGGGAGTGTTGCACCCTAATATACATATCTATGTATTTATTTTGTATACATAGTCTATCGCCGCCGTGTTTATGCTAATAAATATTCATGAATATGAAATGATATTATTACTTTTTCCGATGTTTGTACATAAGTTAGGACTGGGAGTTCTATACGGATAACCCAGACATTCAATTTACTGAATGAAAAATCCGAATAGTGTGTTGATAAGTATTCGGATATACGAATAGTGTATAGATGTCGGAATATTCGAATCTAAAAACTAACAATAAAATAACTATTGTTTGTGCATTAATGAAGTGTTCTATTATTTATTTTGCAACTCGATAGAATCGGTAATTTTAAGAAAAATATTAGAATATCCGGATATCCAGAAAAGGAAATGAACGCATATTAACCGGATATCCGACTTTTATCCGCATATACGAACATCTCGAATATTTCAATATATGGATAGTCCCAGCCCTATTGTATGTACCAAAAGAAGTAGGGATCGGCTCATGGAAAAATATTCTAAAATGATCACAACATCGAGCTGTGTCGATTTATCCTTTTCCATCTGTTACCGATCTGCCTCCTCCATTTAAGCAGCTCTTCTGCTGTCACTATAGCCCCATATAACTGATTCTTCATATATCTAAACAGTTTTTATTGGATAACACGGTAATATGAATTACCAACTCGGGGTTGCACTATCTTTAGGTTGGTCTACCGAATTCCGGTTTTGACCGGATACAAAATAAATGTCATATCTTGGCTCTCGAAACAAGTTTGCAAATTTTCACTGTGATGACGTGAATGAATAATGTTTGACAGATTATTCCGCTAACTATTATCAGTGCTTTTTGTCTTCACATTGTGTCGTAGCATTGCTGGTAATTCCAAATTTTTCTTAAATTCATGCGAAAATGCACTGATTTACATTGAAAAATTTGTTGAATCATTATTTATGTGACACCCTCATTAATGGTACTTTGCTGATAACAAAATATTATGCATTGCTAATTCTTCATAAAATTTTGGGGAGTAACACAAAGTAACTTGGTCACTTGAACTTTGTAACTTTTGCTCAACTTCATTATAGTACTTTAAGCGAAATTCAACTTAATATTTACTATTTTTTTCTTTCTTTTAGCGCCCAAATGTTGGAGCGCGAGATGCGTGATCCGCACAGTATTTGCAATATCGATTGCCTCTTGGACACAGTTACAGCACTGGTTAACGATTGCGATCATGAATCATTGAAGCGTCTGAAGAATATCGAACAATATGCCACCAAATGTAAGTCATCACCAATTACATATGTATGTATAAACCATTTACCTGTGTTTAATTACAGATAAACCGCTGTCGAAACAAATCTGCCAGCTGCGCATGAATGTCGAAGATTTCGATTTTATCAAATTAATCGGCGCCGGTGCTTTTGGTGAGGTGCAGCTGGTACGGCATAAATCGTCGCGTCAAGTATATGCTATGAAGCGGCTATCCAAGTTTGAAATGATGAAGCGTCCCGACTCTGCTTTCTTCTGGGAGGAACGTCACATAATGGCGCACGCCAACTCCGATTGGATAGTGCAGTTGCATTTCGCATTTCAGGACTCCAAATATTTATATATGGTAATGGATTATATGCCGGGTGGCGATATTGTATCGCTGATGTCCATGTACGAGATACCGGAGAAGTGGGCCATTTTCTATACGATGGAAGTTGTGCTCGCTCTGGACACAATACACAATATGGGATTCGTGCATCGCGATGTGAAGCCGGACAATATGTTGCTCGATCGGCATGGTCATTTGAAATTGGCTGATTTTGGCACGTGTATGCGTATGGGTCCCAATGGCTTGGTGGTGTCAAGCAATGCTGTCGGCACGCCGGATTATATTAGTCCCGAAGTTTTGCAATCTCAGGGTGTGGACAATGAATATGGACGTGAGTGCGATTGGTGGTCAGTTGGTATATTTTTGTATGAAATGCTTGTGGGCGATACGCCTTTCTATGCTGACTCGCTCGTGGGCACATACGGCAAAATCATGGACCACAAGAATTCGCTGAGCTTCCCCGCTGAGGTGGAGATAAGCGAGAGTGCCAAATCGTTGATGCGCGCCTTTCTCACCGATCGCACACAGCGTTTGGGTCGCCATGGCATCGATGAAATAAAGGCGCATCCGTTTTTCGAAAATGACACATGGACTTTTGACAATATACGAAATAGCGTGCCGCCAGTTGTGCCGGAGCTCTCGTCGGACGATGATACACGTAATTTCGAGGATATTGAGCGCGACGAGTCGCCTGAGGAGGTCTTTCCCGTACCAAAATCGTTTGATGGTAATCATTTGCCATTTATTGGATTCACCTACACGGGTAAGCGGAGATTCATCCACTCTATTTTTGTTTTACTTATTACGGACTCAACAAATTTAATCTTTTTCTACACAGGTGATTACCAACTTCTCTCCAACGACACTGTCGATGCTGAGACAAAGGAGTCGGCGAATGCAATAGCAAATCACAGCCATCGTCATCGTCCATCCAATTCAAATGAAATAAAACGCCTCGAAGCATTGCTTGAACGTGAAAGAAATCACTCCGAAACTCTGGAAAAGCAAGACAAGGCATTGCGTCAACAAATCGAACTGATAACAAAACGTGAAGCTGAATTGCAACGTATCGCCTCAGAGTATGAGAAGGATTTGGCCTTGCGGCAGCATAACTATAAAGTGGCCATGCAAAAAGTCGAGCAGGAGATTGAGCAACGCAAAAAGACTGAGGCACTGCTCGCCGAGACGCAGCGCAATCTGGACAACGAGCAAAAGATACGTACGCGCGAAATGAACAATAATCAGCATCACAGCGAGAAGATTGTCACATTAGAGAAACAGCTAGAGGAAATGGAAGAGAACTTCAAGAATGAAAATGAGCATGTGCAAAAACTCAAGAAGCAAGTGGCCGAATTGGGTTTGATCCAACAGGAGCTAGAGGGTAAATTGGCGCAATTGCAAGCATTGATTATCACCCTGCAGTCGCAAAAGGACTCGCTGCAGCAAGAAGTAGCTGAAACACAAGCGATGCTGGCACAAGAGAAAAATGCGCGCTCGCAATTGAAAGAACTTGTAAAAGAGTCGGAGAATAAACTACAAACAATGTCCAATGATTTGGATCGCACGACTCAGCGAGAGCAGCAGGCGCATGAGGATAATCGTGTACTAACAGAAAAAATATCCGATTTGGAGAAGGCGAACGCTAGTCTGGACTTTGAGTTTAAAGCGATGCAGGGTCGATATCAGCAAGAAGTGAAGGCGCATCAAGAAACCGAGAAGTCGCGAATGCTTAGCCGCGAAGAGGCTAATCTGCAGGAGGTGAGTTTTTAAGGTGAAAACTTTTTAGCGGCGGTAATGACAGTTTTTTTATAAAAAAACACTTAGAAATTTGACGCTTGGGTTGCAACGGAAATTTATATGAGTTTGAAGTTCATATTCATCAATATATTTCTAACTATATTTCTTATAGGTTAAAGCTTTGCAGACAAAGTTAAATGAAGAGAAATCGGCGCGCATCAAAGCCGACCAAAACTCTCAGGAGAAGGAGCGCCAATTAAGTATGTTGTCGGTGGACTATCGCCAAATACAGCAGCGCCTTCAAAAGTTAGAAGGAGAATGCCGTCAAGAAACGGAAAAGGTAATGGCGCTGCAATCCCAGATGGAACAGGAACACAGTAAAAAGAATACGTTGCTATCTGAGCTAAGTCTGCAAAGTTCAGAGGTGGCGCATCTGAAATCACGTGAAAATCAACTACAAAAAGAGGTCATCTCCTTGCGGGAAGCGAAGCGTAAATTCGAAGAAGAAATTGCTCAAATAAAAAACACTTTGAATAAAGAAATCCTCTTGAAGCGCGAATATCAGGATCAATTGGAAGCCGAACAGTATTTCTCACGACTCTACAAAACTCAAGCGAATGAGCACCGCGAAGAGATATCGGAGCGTAGCCGCGAAATACAGGACCTGAAGGAGGAACGCACCTCCCTGAAGCACCAAGTGCAAGTGGCTGTGGCGCGCGCCGACTCTGAAGCATTGGCGCGCTCAATAGCAGAAGAAACCGTAGCTGATCTAGAGAAAGAGAAGACAATCAAGGAGTTTGAGTTGAAAGACTTTATGACGAAGTATCGCAACGAATTGACAGCGAAGGAGTCGGCACTTACAGTAGCTAAAGAAACTGAAGCTGAATATGTAAAGAAATTGAATCAAAAGAACGCCGAAACCGACGATCTACTCCAACAATATAAAAAGCTGCAGGATGATATGTCTCAGCTGAGGGCTACGAATGACGAAGAGCTCGCAAAATTAAAGGAGAAGTTGCAGACCGAAGTGTTGCTGAAGCAGGTCGCAGTGAACAAGCTGACGGAAGTGATGAACCGCCGGGACACGGATCTGCAAAGTGAGTCGGTCATCAGTTGAATAGATAATAATAAAATCCCAATCTTAATAAAATCCACTAACAATTATTTATATTACATTTATAGAGCAAAAAGGCAAGGCGCGCTCATCCGCCGAATTGCGTAAAAAGGAGAAGGAAATGCGTCGGCTACAGCAAGAACTCTCACAAGAGCGCGAGAAATACAATCAGCTATCGCTCAAACTGCAAGACGTGCAAAGCCAGATCATCGAAGATAGCCACGTAAGTAGACTTGGTGTTTTCAAATGTATTCAAATCGCTTAAGATGTGAAGACGCCTTGGATATTAAAGAACGGGCTCATAAGGAGTATAATATACAAATGTGATCTCTTCTATTTGCAGATCAAGCAGAAGCTGCAAATGGAAATCGATTGCAAGGCAACGGAGATCGAGCAATTGCAGTCAAAGCTCAATGAAACCGCCTCATTGTCTTCAGCCGACAACGATCCTGAGGATACTCAGGTACTTGTAAGTTTCAAATCATTTTCAATGTTACTAGATATTGTATTATTTTTTTTCTTATCACTCGCCTATTAGGACTCAGTATTTGAGGGCTGGTTAAGCGTGCCAAATAAGCAAAATATACGTCGCCATGGGTGGAAGCGACAATATGTGATTGTGTCATCGCGCAAAATTATATTTTACAATACCGAAATCGACAAACAGAATACAATCGATCCTGTGCTTATATTAGATTTAAGGTAAATTGTCATAATTCAAACCAGAATCGCAATCACATATATTTGAATTTTCTTTATATTTGCAGCAAAGTATTCCATGTGCGTTCTGTGACGCAAGGTGATGTGATACGCGCCGATGCCAAAGAGATCCCACGCATCTTCCAATTGCTGTATGCTGGTGAGGGCGAAGCGCGTCGACCGGACGAACAAAACCAATTGGATATAAGTCAGCTGCTGGCAGACGAAAGACCCAGTTCTATAATGTACAAAGGTAAGATATTAAAAAAAATTTTCATAATGTGAGTTTCTTTTTATAAAAAGCAATATTTCTGATCTCTTTCACACAGGCCATGAATTTGTTCATATAACATATCATATGCCAACAGCATGCGAAGTCTGTCCGAAACCATTGTGGCACATGTTCAAGCCGCCAGCGGCATATGAATGCAAGAGGTAGGTATACACAGCTTTTTCGAAAACGTTTGCTAACGATGCGTTAGCGCTAAAAATTAGTCTTATGTTAACATTCTTCTCTTCGTTCGCTTCTTTATGTAACCTTTTTAATTTACCTAATTTGTTTCATTTAGATGCCGCAATAAGATTCATAAGGAACATGTAGACAATAACGATCCGTTGGTGCCGTGCAAATTGCATCACGACCCACATACTGCCAAAGAAATGCTGCTGCTGGCCGGCACACCCGACGAGCAGCATCTGTGGGTGACGCGTCTATCGAAGCGAATACAGAAATTCGGTTATAAAGCAAATTCGTCATCAAATAATAACAGTGGCGGCGGTGACGGTAGCAAAATATCACCAAGGTGAGCTTACAAGCACTTACAACCTGTTATTCTTATTACCAAAAAAAAAAACAATATTTTTATTTTCGAAACATTCATGCCATATACGTATCAATCAATGCCCGCGGAAAATAAGATGTATGTATTCAATGTTTTGTACATACGCTTCCAACATAAATACATACAGTTACTATCGAAATTGAATATACGATGACTTTTTTTTTAAATATACACAATGTTTTTCATGTTAAATTTTTTTTTTAGTAGAATGATATTCAAATTTTAACTGTCTGTAAAATTCGCATAGATTTTTGTGTTGGCGGCGGACTATAGACTATCGACTATAGAAAGTGGGTGGAAAAAAGTCATGGTGACAGTTGATAGAAAAACTTGCTCATGCTCATTTATGTATGTATTTTTATTTATTTATGTTTTTTGTTTTTCATAAAAAAATATACTCTTGGAAAACTACAAGATTTAGAGTATTAGTAAAAAAATGTGTGTACCGGTTCGTCAGGTAATCAAATTATATGCTTGTTTTTAGGGAATTTCATGCAGTTTCCAAATATAAATATAACTCGGATCTTTTCACGAGACTACAAATATACATATATACAAAATTTTCGATTTTTTATTTTTTTTTTATTATTAGATTGTTTTGCGTAATTTCGCGAAAAAAATAAAATGAGAATATTTACACCTAAGTACTTTTTAAGTACACATCTTTATATATATATTCCTCGTATGTTTTTTTTTTAGTGGAAAGCAGAAAAACAATTATTGTTTGCAAAAATTCGTATTAACCATATTTTAATAAAATTTACAAAAAGAAAAATATTAGCATGAAAAACATTGTGAATACATATTGAAAAAAGGTACCGTATACTAAATTGTTTGAGCGGCCGCACATCTTTGTATAATTCATCTTACATTATTAATTCTAAAATCATAATTTTTCGATTTCTCTTTCTTCTTTTTATCTGTGTGTTGCTTAACACGTTCCATCTGAATATTGGCAAACTTTATTGGTAAACAATGCAAATATAAAATCAACACATGCGCTTGCTCGTAACCCGCAAATCTGTGTCTCCCGCCTTTCCTAACATCAAACCAATCAACAATGCTACCACAACAAAAATTAAAAATAAACAATCCAATCAAATCGCATCAATTATTGCCATCAACAAACACCATATCACCATCGTTATTATAATTTCTTTATATTACGCTCATTTGACCTTTGCTCATTCATACGCTTGCATTCTAATGCATCTTTTGACGTGACGGAGCAGCCAGTCGACTCGTTCTGCTTACAAGCCATACGCAGTTAACGTACAAAGATCAGCTACGCTGCCAGCTAATTCATCATTGAAACAGTGATCCGCACGAAAATGCAAGAGTAAAGAAGACAAATATTTATAAATACTTGCATAGAGTACATACATACATAGAGTATAAAAAAACGCAGATTAACTACCATCACAACGATTTTGCGTGGAAAAATGCGTGCGCACAAATGTATGCATATTTGCGAATCAAAAGAAGAGTAGTAGAAAAAAAAAAAAATTTTAAAAATAAAATTATGAATGAGTGAACGAACGTATCATTTACAATATGTTTTGCATATCTTTAATATAGATATACATAGTATATACATACATGTATTAGTTATCACTAGTTTAAAACACGCATGGGCATACACGCGCATTTGCTGATAATTTCATTATTACATTTATTGAAATAATTAGTGTAAATAGAACAAAGAAGTGAAGTAGCAGCAGCCAATTATTGCAACTGCGCGCGCTTGTTTCATGTAATAATTTTCCATATAAAAAAGAAAAAATTATTTTTGTTACTGCTTACGTTTTGACCGAAATAATTCTTTAAGAGCATCATCATATCACCTTTTCTGCGAATTAACAATTACAAACATATACAAAACATTTCTTCCTGTATGCTTACCTTATATGTATGTATGTACATACTATATATGAAAAGCAAAGAAGATGTGCATATGTAGCTAAACTAAGTGCATTTGTGCGTCGCTATTTATGTAAGCTTAATATGTATAATTACACATTTATTATTATTAGTACCTTATTAATCTATTACTATATCGTAACTAAAACCTAGATTTTAAGTATTTCGCTTTTGTAACTAAATTGTTTAGAGACGTCGATAGCTGTGAGTGAATATGTTAAGAGCAATGAAAATAAATAAAGCAAAAGGAAAATATTAAACTAAAGCAACTAATCAACATAATCCCCAAAAAAAAGGGAACTAAAAGGCAATCATTTTTATAATAGGCGCCCACAATTTATTGCCAAATTTATGAAAAATCGCATATATGGCGAGTTCACTTTTGTCATTTTCTAAACAAAACATCTATGTTCAAGTTTTTAGATCAAAATATTATCTACTTTCGTTAATGAACTAAAGAAATAGTCGTAGCATTTTACAGGCGTGGAATTTTCGCACAAACTGCAAACATTTTATTGAAACCGAATTTTTGGAATTTTTCACGACTTGGATCGCAATTTAGACGTACCAAAAAACTACTTTAAACTTATTTTTATATTAAAAAAAGAAACGATCTAATATCCGATGCCCCGGAAATCTATTTGAAAAGGAGGTGTTCCATAAGTCCTTATGAAATGAATTTATTGGTATAGATAAAATATTGAATCTTTTAGCCTAGAGTAAACTACATTTACAAATTGAGTGAAATTCATTAAAAGTGAAAACCGCTTTGTTTATTTCCGTAGCTGGTTTAGCCAGATAAAACATAAAATATATGTACATATATTAAGTGTATTCATCTAAACTCTTAACGCCTCATATATTTATGGTATCGTAATTCGACTGTCATAATAACCAGCCAGCAATCCAAATCAACAGCGTTAGCGAAAATTCTCTCCAAAATTAAGGGAAAACCAAAAAAGTTAACGAATAGAAATATTAGCAATCGTTTCCAAAAAACAAAGAGAAGAAGATGAAACCAGCTGACTGTTTTGCTTGTAAAGAAATATAAATTGAGCGGCAGGAACATTTCTGAAAATAAAAACTAGTTAGTGCTTTCATAAATACACATAGCAGGCAGCCAAAAAACATATCGCTAGCTTTAAGCGAAAATTTGCTACGTCCAACCTTTTTTTTTCTTGTGATTTTTAGTAGAGAAAAGAAAAACGCCTAAATCATTTTCTTAAAATTTTATGCAGAACTTTGAATGCAATACACATGCGTATTCAATGAAAATAAACAACTATACGAATCGATGGTATTCGACGTTAATAAAAGTTTTTTTTATTCCATTGCTAATTTGATATCATATATTAATAGCTTTTCACATAAAAAATATTGCTTATTAAAATTTATAAAATTAAAGGCAGACCTCCAAACAAGATTATTTAGGTTTTATGAGGATTCTTATTTTATGAGCTCACGCAAAGATATTTGAGTATTAAAAGCAATTCCAATTATACATACCTACTCACGTACTGTCATATTCGTCTAACTAAGTACCATGTATGTATGTTCGTTACTATTAAAAATTTTCAGTATACAACTGCATACTCGAAATGTTCCATTATTACTTATATTCCATAAACTTAAAATTAGCTTAAAGTAATATTAATGAGAAAATTCTCCGTATATGCACGGAGAATGTTTTAATGATTCCATACTAATGTTACTTATTAATAATTGCAAACGTACATACAAATAAGTATTACAAGCGACATTTTATAAAGCGCATTTCGGCAATAAGTTGCTAAGCTATATAGGTATTTGTAAATTATTAATTTTTTTTACTTAAGTGGCGAATCATGTATTAACAATGGTTGATGTAATTAAGAGCAAAGTCAAAAACAAAAAAAAAAAAACTAGAAAAAAAACGAAACAAAATATAACTAAAAGCATAAAAAAATAATTACAAATTACTCGTATATAAATAAATTGCATACTCCGAAATTGCATACTTTTAAGTGCTGCTTTCATAGCGCCCACTAAATCTTATTCGGCAGTTAACTTTGAATTTGTATACTGAAAAGCGAAAGCCAACTGCCGAATGTGAGCTAACTCCGCACTGTGAAAAAGTCCCTAAGCGATAAAAAGAAAAGTAAATTCCAGCAAATACTTTAACTCGTTTTAGTAAATACATATATAAAAGCAATAATAAAGATAACGAAAGTTTTCATAAAAATTCCCTTTAAGGTCCAATATGTAGTAGTACTGACATAAAAAAAAAAAATATGAAGCAGCTTATTAATCACTAATTGGTGGCAACCAGCTTCCCATTGCATTAACGCCAACAACAAATACATGGTGTGCAGCAATACAATATGTAGTAAGTTGCTTTTAGTGGTACAATTACATATTTACACACAGTGGCCAACTTAAAAAATATGCTTCTTATTCTCTCTCGTCTTTAAAATATTTTTATTTTGAAATATTTGAATATTATTGGTATTTTTTTTATCATTTGCTCCAAAGATTTCCCCTTATTTTGTGAATTGTGCATTGCTGCTGCGTTGTTTGCTTTGCATTTTTTTTATTTTATTTTTTTTTATTACGAATCATTTGTATTTGTTTTTTTATGAAATTTGCAAAACTTAAGTAAAAAACTTTGTTTTTGTATAAATTCATATTTTCCATAAATGTACATCTGCTTACATACATATGCATACGTACATATACTATATTTTATTTCAGTTAATTTATTATCAGACAAAGAATAAACAAAAATCTGAAAAAAATAAACAAAAATACTTTGTAAAATATTAAATGCTTAGTTTCATTTTTTAGTTTCTGGTTATCGTTGGCTTAATAAGAAAGGCGGTACACAGCTGCTTAACAATATTAAAGACCTAAGATCTGCGATTTTTTAAGAGAATTGCGCCCCGTGGCAAAATTATAAGAGGACCACATGTAGACAAGTTTTAACAATTTTTTTTTTTGTAAAATTTTAATGATTTTTTTTATAAAAATGTAGTTTATTCTTTAACAAAAACCGTATAAAACCAAGTTTCACACATGTTTAGAAAAATTTAACAATTTTCAACATTTTAATAAGATTTTTGAGAAAAATTGTGAGGGTGGAGTTTTGTAGTCCATTCAATTAATAGTGTGGCCGAATTGGGCTGGAATGCCCCCCATATGTACAAATTGAGATTAGACCCAACTATTTAAATATAGGTATGTCTTTGACTATCTATATAAAATTATCTTTGCCCGATTAATTTTGAAATACAGTCTGCTGCATTTTTGGAATGCCAAATTTAAGTTAACCGAATTCGAAAAAGATGCCGCTTAAAGAATGCTTAGAATTACTCATTCCAATAATGATTTCGCCAGCGCGTGAGGTGGGTTTTATATGGATGGAGATGTATGACAGGCTCAAATGTTGAGCTTGGTGCAGAAACGAATTCGCGTCATCGTCAACACTTGCACTTGCAGCGGCTATGGTGAGTCTCTTCGAAGCTCCTCCCGGTATTAGCGATTGTTTGCTGGGCGTGAAGAAGATGATAATTTTTACGAAATGCAGCCATCGGTTGATTGATTGATTAAATAATTTTAAAGCGTTGTATGGTCGTAAAATATTCCATAGCCTTTACTAAGCAAATAACAAAGGGATGATAGTGATATTTGACAAATGCCAAATGGCAGGGTTTTACTTTCCCAAGCGCGAAATGAACAGCCCGTTATATCTTTAAATCCTTGGCGAAACACTAAAAACAAAATGAGTAGTTTTTTTTATCGCTAGAACGCACTTAATGCTGTAAAATTTGTCTTATTTGTAGACTACCGAAATTTTAGTGAAGCTCGAATGCAAAAGAAATTAATTGGAGCCGTTCTAAATTAAGTTAACGATATACTTATGTTATGTATGTTTTTCATGTTATTTGCATTCTAATATAATTTCTTCTCAAAAGGTTATTCACAAAGCGCTGCCTAACATACATAGACTATATGTACATACATATGTAGTATGTAAATACACATTTTTAAAAGAACTTGGTTTAGTACATTTTTTCCAATCTCACTACACAAAACCATAAAAAAGACTAAACTTGCAGCTGCGTTACTCCAATCCAGTAGAGGTGGGTGAAGTTGTGAAGAAGTACCAGGGGCGGTGTTGACTAGCATCAACCCGGTAAAACGAATATTTTTCAAATGAAAAACAATCTAAAGTAAAGTCTCCCTTGGCCATATGATTACCATGTGCATAGAAATAGTTTTCTGTATGCGAATTGCCTTTAAACATAATTATTTCTTTCAGGGACCTATAGTATAATTTTGTGAACCATTTTTTCGTAGAAACTTTAAACTTCTTAACTCTTACAAAACTGGGCCTTATTGTTGCTTATTTTGAAGAAGTCAAACTGTTCTACAAATATGTCAAGCGGTTACCGAAGATGACAAACTCATCCGATTAAACGTCAGTGAGCTATAGGTCTTTATCTAAATTGAAAGTAGTGCCATTAAGAAGGAATAGTGTTCTATAATTCGCCTTCAAACATAATTCATGCTTTCAGAGACTTATACTGAAATTTGGGAAACACTTTTTTCTTAAAATTTTATACCCTCATTATAGGTAATTTTGACCCTTATTTGAAGAGAAAATGAAAGCTATTGGGTTAAAAATACATTTAAAAAATATTTGTGCCCACAAAATTTCTACGTGTTTGAAAAAAAACGTTGTTGATGTAGCTCAGAAGAATAGTAAGATGAAAATATTTCAATTGTAGCATAGGTCTTCATTAGTAACTATATATATTTCCTAGAGTAATGGAATCATTACAGGTTTTTTGTACAAAATGTGGTTTGTAAACTATTTCTTACATAGTGAATATATATATGTATGCACATTAGGGTGGTCTAAAAATACACAGAAAAGCAACTTTCTGGAAAGTGGACAATAAGGAAACCCATTTTTTTATATTGAAGGCGGTTAATATCATAGGATCACAAATTTTAGTTTTGATTTTGTTCTCCAAACGCCACTATACAATTTGTATGTAGGATCACTCGCTGACTCCGAAAATCCGAAATTGATAATTTACCGTTATTCAGCTTAAAAAAAGAGAAGTTCCACTTAATCAGGTATATCTTACGAACCAATTAAACAATTGTAATACGAGATATGAGAAATGAAAGTAAATAAAATTCTCCATAAACCGTAGATGCATCACTTTTCGATAGGCCTGATATTTTCTGAGAAATTAATTAATCATTCCAGATTTTTTGATTTTTTGAGGAAAAAATGCAAAAATTCAAACTTTAAAAGGGAATCAATACAAAAAATAAAAGTTTCTGTGTAAATGTTTTACGCTTGTGTTAAAGCCTGTTCCTTTAGAAAAAAATTAAGCTACCAATGATAAAATCGATTGAGCAGAAAAGACTATTACTCATACGCCACGTACACCTGAGAAGGTAGAGTGTTTGCATCGAAAACAAGAGATGTCGGAAATGATTAATTAATTTCTCAGAAACTATCAGGGCTATCGAAAAGTGATGTATATACGGTTTATGGAGAATTTTACTTTATTTCATTTCGTGTATCTCGTATTAAGATTATTCAATTGGTTCGTAAGATATACGTGATTAAGTGAAACCACTATTTTTTTTCAGCTGAATAACGGTAAATTGCAAATATCTCGAAAAGTTATCCATAGAAAAAAAAATATCTCGATTTTCGGAATCACCTAGCAATTCTACATAGAAATTGGATAGTGGCATCCATGGAACATTTTTGCTGTAAGCCAGTGTATTTAACCGTGCCGGCGGGGCTTTGAAGTTTTCTATATATTTCATATGGGGAAAATACATCTTATCGTAGAATCGTTAAAAATTTATATTTTTTGATCGAATAAAAATATTGCCTTCTAACAATAGAATTATGATGCAAATTTTGACTGTAAAATTTTACTATTTTTCTAAAACCTCCTGGCTGCAAAATAAAAATATTAAGATTACCCTAATGTATATACTATAGATACTTATTTACATTCATGTGTATAGTATGCTTAGATACACACTCATCCTACATCCAAGATGAGGTCTACAAAATTCAATACTAAATAAAATTGTACGCACAATGCATTGTGAATAACCTCGCTGCTTGTAAAGTTGATCTGACTGCAGTTGCAAAGCTTTTACCATCTCTACATGCAAACAGTTTAAATTTTTGTAATTAATTATATCTACTAACACGTTCTTGTTCATTTTTTCCATCTGTTTATATTTTAAAGTCGACTGAAATGGCAATCATCAACAACATCACAACGACAATCTTCACCGCCAACACCACCACCAAAACCTTTATCGTTGCAACGTCAAAAATCGCAACCACCATTATTTTCCAACAATAAATGAAACGTTGGGCTTTTAATGGTGCAGAAAAGTGGAGCAACAACAGCAACAAATAATAAGACTATCAAATCGCCTGCGCAACAGTTTTATAAAACGTTTTCGCTCAGCCAGACGCTACGATTAGTTTGAGCTTTTGCCAGAACAAAAACACAGCGAGAAAATATTTGTAATTTTAATAAACGCAAAAAACAAAATCGCTAAAACACTGCACCACGTTTGCGCACACACTATACGGATTTTTCTTACACCTAAGTATTTAAGTTGATTCATTTTAAGTTGTTAGAGTTTTTAGTTATAACGAGAATGGTTAAGTTTTTGTACTTAGTTGTTGTTTTTAAGTAAAATTTTCGACTTATAAATGTAATGTGAAATTAAATTCGAGTGTATTGCCAAATAGAAAATAATGTTATCCCTTTTTAGGATTATGATACTTTAGATATATTAACAATTACTTATGTAAAAATATACGTTGAATAAGAAGACTTTTTTATTACCAGAAATGAATGGAAAAAATGTTTTCTAGTAGAATTTCAACTAGGCAATAGAATGAGAAAAACGATCAAGCGTTATTTGCAATTTGATACATTTATAATTACGCCACAAATCGGAGGGGAAGCTCGGCCAAGCACTAGCATACTATGTGTAAGCTCCAATTTATTATTATTATTAATTTCCGCATCGCCGCTACTATCACTGACGCCCCAAATGGACAAGTGTAGAAAACACAAGAAGTCGTCGTTATTTGTTGAAACTTTACTCCTTCAAGGATTATTGAACGCTGATTTCAAAAATTAAATCGGGTTTTTTGTTTCAGCAACCACTTTCAAAAAACACTGCTTTTTAGAACCGGCTATTAATTTTGAGAAAAGCGAATTGATCCGAGTTTTTAGTATCTGTAACTAATTTTGTAAAAAGCGGAGTGTTCCCAACCATTTCTTAAATTAAAAATTTCGGTGCCTCTTTTGGACTTACCAAATTCGCCTTTTATTGATTTTTTTTCAATAATCACCAAACTAATATATATGTATATGTACATATATAGATATCTATACGCAACCGGTACAAAAACCGATTGCACTTTTGCAATAACCATAACAAAACATTTAGTGTGACCACACCGCTTTTCTCAAAATTATTACCCGGTTTTAAAAACCCGGGTTTTTCGAAATTGGTAACCGGCACAAAGAAACCCGTTTTGTTATTTAAATCACCGTATTTGTATTACTCTATGTACATTTGTGCGTCAGTAGGCGTGGGAGCTGTGCGGTTTTCATCAATTGGGGTGTGTTCGAGCAACTTAATACATACCGCAATATTGCAGCCTTTCTTGATGATATGGTGCTGATGCTCAACTAAAAGTTCTCCGAAATGCTGCATAATTTTTTGTGTTGCTTTTGATTTGACAGTGATGAGCAACTGATTGACAAAATGTTGTTCTTCGATCGCTTGATGTAGGCAAAGTAGCCCAATTTTTAGCGTAGAACATGATGCTCTTTCATAAAAAAGCAACACTGCCGCATTAATTGCAGCTCGAATACAGCGTAATCTTTAATTAATACCACATTCAGAGATAGGACTTTTACTTATTTTGATTAATGTATTTTTTCCACCTTAAGTGCTATATTGATTGGCCTATGCTCCCAGAAAATGAATTGAAAACATTTTGTAAAATATGCGTAATTTAGATCTGGGAGAATAAATGAAATTAAAATCTATAATTTTGGTATTTTAAATAGAGTTCCCAATATTGTACATGATAATAATAATAATAGCAATGACATTCCTATTTAGTCTATAAGCAATACAAATGAATTGAATTATATAATTTAGTTGACCGCTTAAAGCAATCAAACTGTAAACGAAAGAATTTTCCTAAAGTGTGAAGTGTAAAATATGCATTATTTCATAATTTAAAAAAAAAAATATGGATTCAAAAAGCATTACTTTCAATCGAAATTCTAGCATGAAGTTTCTTTATCGAATTGAACTTCAACGCATTTATACGACGTACTCTTGTAACATTGGGTCTGAGTCAAACTTAAAAACATACGATATACTAACATACATACGTACCGAAATTTAAATTTAATGATTATACGACAAACAAGTTATCTTCTTGAGGAAGCATAAGGCTAATACACCACTCAAAAAATTTTACAATTTTGACTAAATCTGGAGATAACGCCAGCCATTTCTAATAGATTTTGAATCCAAATACGAACTCAGAATTGCTCTATCACATCAGGTTTTTTTTTTAAATATTCTTGCCTTAAAAAGCAAAAAATTAAAATCTGCTTATAATGGAAGACGTTGAACTTAACATTGAAATGGTCAACAACTTTGATCTAATTGCCTTTATTTAAGATTGATGTATTTAATAAGTGCCAGCAATCGTGTTTCAACCGGCGCCTAGTCCCGTTTTGTATAAAATGATGCCTCTGCAGACCTTTTTCAGCACTTTAAATTTTTCAAACTTATTATTAATTTCTCAAACAAAATAAACAGAGAATTGTATTGCATAAAAACTGGTATAGATAAGATGGTCGTTTTGTGTCCGACTTTAAAATCGGTGGAATATGATTCTTCTAGACTTTCGAGGTTTCATAAGGTTCTACACCTGCCATGATTAAGACAAATTTTTGAATATGAAGAGAAAAATCTAAACGGAATAATACAGGGTGGCGCCGAATGAGCTATATGGTTTAAATGGTTTATAACTTTTTTATTTATTATTATAATATTATAATATTTTTTTTTAATACAGTATATTATTGGGGATTTTTTTTGCAATTAGCTTTGAAAAATTATATCCTGATGTCCATTTTCTGCTTCGCAATACGTGCTCTTTTTAGCATATTTTCCATAACTTTTCGCAGAATTTCGGATGTAATGGCCATGATTTCATTTCGAATGTTGGTTTGGAGTTGGAGAATGGTTCTTAGTTTGTTAACGTACACTCTTCCTTTCAAATATCCCCAAAGAAAACTGTTAAAAAGAATTCAAACCATATAGCTCATTCGGCGCCACCCAGTATTATAACTAAAAATTTGAGATCTTTTTGGCCGAAATTACGATTTTTTCAAGGTAAAATGACAATTTTTCAGCACAAGCATACGGCAACGATGCTGGCAGGTCATTTCCAGGCGTGGATCCCGTTGGCATAGAGTAAAACAAAAAACTGCTATAAAGAATTCAAACCATATAGCTCATACGGCGCCACCCTGTATTTAAAAACATTTAGCTTTTATACGCCCTATCGGTCAGTTAGTGCTTTACAAAGCGTCTGAATAAATAACTGAAAATAGAAATGCAATAAAATGGAACGCATCCCAGAAGATAATTTAGGTAATCCTTCTTAAGTGAAGCCACTCTAAAAGGCCTACCCAGGGGGAGGCTGAAAAAAATGCTTCCCTGCATGCCTTCTAGAGAGGCTTTTCCTATTTGAAATTTACGAGGATGCATTTATTGGTGTACAAGGCTGGTACTAAAGTACGTCCTACAAAATCGCTTCTATGGGTAGCGAAAGCAGAAGCCCTTGAGTTGGTGCCATTCCATGCAAGAACGAAAAGAGAAAGGAATACAGAATGGAAGGCCACTTACCCCCAGGAAGGCAAAATATTTGGTTTAATAAAAAGATTATTGAAATAAAAATAATTTTAATTTGTAACGCTATTTTAACTATTACCTAAATGTTACTTTTCTGGAATAACCCCGGTATATTGTAAATTATAAAACATCAAAAGTAAAACTAATATTAAAGTTTTAAATATACATACATACATAAGTATAATATAAGAATCATAGCAGCTGTGAGCATATCAACAATTATAATAATTAATAAAGAAAATAAGAAATGTATTACATATACATACTACATGCACATTTACATACATACATATGTATTTATAAAATGCCTATACACAATCATACTAAGTATAGCTACATATATCCATACTTATTTACGAGTACTTAAAGGAATATATACTCTAGTTTGTAAACAACTTTAAAAAAAAATGTTACGCGAAACGCCTTAATTATATGCATATTTACTTACATACTTACTTACCTACATAAGTACATACATTATTAACTTTACTAAGGCACATAAACGATAAACTTTACAATATTATATTCATTAGTATCGTAATTAAGTGAAGGCATCGTTATTTTTTATCGTATTATGGTAGTTAGAGCGCGAACGTTTATATGAAATGGTATACAATTTTCAAGTGCAATAAATAAAATGCAATTTTGTAATAAATTACTTATCGTTGTTTTCATTTTGGGCAGCATTTTAAAAAGAATATTAAGCGATTAAACAGATCACAACGCCAGCCAGTTCTCCAGCAAACAGTTACGATTTACTTATTGTACTGCTGTTTTATTTGTATGGGTTGAAGCTGTGCGTTGTGTTGTTATACCGACATATGTACGTATGTACTTTTTGTACGAAACAGCCATAAGTAAGAAGTCCCCTGAGCTTATAAATTCAATATTCTGTTTGTTTTTGTGATCGCCCGCTTACGGTTATCCAAAAGTACCCAATTCCTGTTTCTTTTTTTTTGGTTCTCGGGCTGGTGGAAGCAGTTTGACAGAGTTATTTTTTCCCGCTATCCGAAAATTACACGGACATTCTTCCAGAAGAAGAAGGGTGAAAAAATGCGTATTCCAACAAACAAATATTTGCACATTTTGCAGTTTTCCTTTTAGTGATAATTTGGGGAAAAAATACCCTGTGAACAAGTTTAGTGACGTTGAAATGTTCAATTTTTAAATTCCTATAAAATGGTACTCACCAGGGGGATTGAGTCGGTTTTATCAAACCGTTTTCAACGATGTTTAATCAATTTTTTTAGTTTTTTTATCTTTATTTTTTGAATACCGAGTAATCTAAATTTTTAAAATCGAATAAACTGGGGTTCCATCTAATTAATTTACATACAATATCTAAAAAACCAAAAGAATTTTATATCTGAATACTGAAAATCTTCCGCTGCAGATAATTACTTATGGTGATTTCGTTTCTACCAAAAAATGACGCCTTTTGATTGCCCTTCCTCTTTTCGTGTTCGATTGGAGGCAAACGGTGGGAAAATTTTGTGTTTGTTTCTTAAACTGTCACACTCTTTTAAGACAAAAAATGGGCTTCTTTGCCCTTTGAAGCTTTCTCAGGGGAAATGGTCGCCCTAAAAATAAGATGGTTGCTTAAAATGACAATATTATGAAATGGGTGAGCTAGACAAGAACAAGAAGGCAAAAACATGCCCTTTTACAGGGTTGAGTGTAGCATCGAACACATTTTGCACTGGGGAAAGGCAACATTTTTTGGATGAAGGGAAATCACCATTAAAAAAAATAAATAAAGAGAAAACCGAACAAAATCTTACAATGTTTTTTTTTTTTGTTATAGCAGCTCGCTAAACTCTGTCTAAATCAGTGAATCGACATTTTCATCAAACGGCTGGCTTCGTCGGTTTTGGGCCGTAAATAGAGGGATACTTAGGAGCCACGCTGATAAGGAGGCCGACAATTTTAAGCTTTTGCTTGGAATTGCTTATTTTTCTTATTCATGAAAACGGCCAAGAAAAAAAGTGTCATTATTTCGCGTGTGTGAATAGTAGTGTCTAAGGAATTTTGACATTTGATTTTTCACAACCTGCTATCTCGCTCCTTTCTTGCCTTATGCTGGTTGTTAACCAAAAACTTAAGAAAACCATAGAATAAAACATAGCAAATTTCATATGAACTAAGTTTTGAAAAGAAATTAAGGATTCGTATCTTAGTATAATTATTTTTAATAACAATAAAAAAGTGCCTTAACACCACTGGAAATATTTATAATATTTATTACTTGATATTCACACTGTAATTTTGAAATTCTTGAAATAAACTGAATAAAAAACCAAACATTAAACTGCACTTAAATTTGTTTGTGATTTTTCGAGCATATTTTCAAGCATATTTACCAATATTTTAAGGCTTATCTACTATTCTATCTATTACTTTTTTCTTGCTTATTTTTTTGGCCCTAATAAGTTTCAATAACTAAGTTAGTTCAGGAAGAGCTTCAGTAATACTTCGGTCTCTATATGTGCAAGTATCAGAAAAAATTATGCATTATTTTCACAGAGGGGCTGCACTTGACACATCAGTTGTTGGAAAATTATGTGCGCTCTAAGGTCTTTTGAAAAAAAGGAAGGAACCTTCCGTGTTATAAAAGCCAAGTTAAGTAGACCATGGATTGAATTGACAGTGTCACAAAGAAGAGGATATTTAAAATTTACCTTCATTTATTAAATTAATAATTGAATCGCTTTAACTTCATGAAATTGGATATATCAATTTTCGCATTACCACACCACCTACAGAAACAAGTTATGGAATTTCTTGTTTTGACGGTGAGGTTTCATAAAATAACAAATCAAGAGAACCTGAAACCAAAAAAAGAAGAATAGCCCGAAAAGACAACTGTTGTTGCGATGGCAAGAGGCCGGCATGCTATTTTGCATACATAAATAAGCACGTCGAAGTATTTTCATAAAAAACAAACGAAATTGAAAACAACAACGGATAGAAGTTTTTTTTTTTGTATTTTAATTGACATATCTTTTTATTGTGTGTGATAGCCACATTAATTTCAACTCATTTGGTTGATGATAATCCAAAAGTTTAAGATTAGACGAATATAAAATGGAGTAACTAAATATGTAAATTAGTTTAGAGGCATATTTTGTGATAATTCATATATATATATGTATATGGGCGCATGCATATGCATGAGACTTCACGCTCTTCTGTGTAAGGTTTAAAGATTAAAAATTTAACTAAAAATACCTGATGTATATGTATGTATGTATGTATGTATATGTATGTAAATACAGTAAAAATTGTGCAAGCGTGAATTTTATGCGTAAATGCAAATGGTCGTTTCTTGGTTTTTTTTTTTGCTTTTCTGTTAATATCGCATACTTATTTCAAGGTCACTACTACTACTTCCACTAAATATACGACTTTTTTTTTTTGATTCCCATTGGTGAAATATGTACATATTTTAGCGCACGGCCGGTTTGACAATGGTAGAAAAACACAGAGCAACTGAGACGTGTAAGAAATTAACTAAATACTAATAATCGTTGTGTGTGTATATGTGTGAGTGCGTGAAGAGAAAAATAAACACACATTTGCACTCACACACACCGATAAGGATGTAGAAATTATGCTAATGAGGTGGTCATTTGGGTTGTTAATTTCATTTGAATATCCAGTTGTTTCGTTTTGCTATTTAATCGGGTTTGTTTCTTAAGTCTTTTGATTATTTCGCTGATAAAAAATATTTCTGGGTGCCTAAATTGAAAGATAAAAGGAACAACATTCAACTAAAACAAATTTATTACTTTGACGTAAAACCGATTTACATATACGTATACATATGTTCCTTTAGACAAACACGGGTTTTTAGTTAAAAAAAACCCCAAAACAAATTAATTAAAAATATTTATGCTCGCGTCTCTTTCTTCCACACCGTCTGACATTTTAGCTGCTTGGTCGCTTGTGACTGAACACCATAACGCATTTATATAATTTACATACGACCTTGAGGGTTTTGTTTTCGCACAATCAATTAAATGATGTCCAACACCACGCTGTGCGAGCAGCAAATCAACCATTCACACCCATTTCTATGAGATGCTATAAATCTTTAATTTTTATTTGAAACCGCAAGTCAATCATCAATACTTCAATGCAACTGCTAATTAATAAATATATTTAATTGATATAAACAGCAAAAGAAACGACCTCCTGTGGCTTGGCTCAATGAAAGTGTCAATGCAGATAGACTGGCAGAGTAGCCGGCAGAGTCTTCAAGTGCTCTTCCAGTATGCGCCAATGGCGTAAAGGCGCAGCCTGCTTGAAATTGCAAACACTTACGTCTGTACACTCCCAGCTTTACACATACGTATATACATACATACATACATACACACATATGGGTATATGACTAAGATTCCAAAATCGTTTTACCCAAGGCAGATATTTCAGCAACGCTGCAAAAAAGGCAAAAAAAAAGAAGTTGCAGGCGCTAACAGATGTTTCTTCGCTAATGATGGTGTAGAAAAAGTATTCATTACTAAGAAGATCTACACTATACAACAGCATTTTTTTCAACAGAATAACCGTGGTATTCTTCAGGAAGAAGGCATCATGCATGCGTTGAACAAACTCAAAGTCGAACATGTCTGATAAAGGGGCCATGGCGTGTCTTTGTACTGCATACACAAACTTTTAAAGAGTTATTATTTTGATGCTTCAGGAAATTTTCTTTAATTTATAAACCCGTACTTCCCCCGCACAAAATTCCCGTGGTTTCTAAATTGACACAAAAAAATGTCCTGCACTCTATTTCGTGCCTTTTTACTCTCTGCCGTCTCCGTGTTTTTGCTTGCTAAAAGCTTCCTCTCTCTGGCAGAGCTTACAGAGACTACACTGCTCTCGTCACTGTTGGACTTGTTGATCCGGCAACCGTTACTTCTCGAGGCGGTCCGTTGTCGGAACAGCTGCGTAAACGACTGAGCAATTTTTAGGCACCAGCCTGTCCCATCATCACCATTTAAGTTTACCTCCCAACCATGACCAGGGATCCTTTCCATATATCAAAGCTATTTAGGAGCTTAAGCATACAGCATTTAGCTCTGATCCTGTCTGGGAACCGCTCTAAGATCGCACAAGCTCTAAACAAATAAAAACAAAAACCCTTCAAAAATGTTTTCCTTGCGATGTATTTAATTTATATTATATATACTTATCTAATTTATATTATAGTTATATTTTTTATACCCGGGCGCACTAGTACACAAGGGTATATTAACTTTGTTCGCATAATGGATGTTTGTAACAGCCAAAACGAATCGAGATAGATATGGACACATGTACACATAAATGATCAGAATGAAAAGAGAGGTCGATTAAGTCATGTCCGTCCTTCGGTCCGTCTGTTCGTGTACACGATAACTCGAGCAAAAATTGAGATATATCAACGAAATTTGATATGTAAGTTGCCCTCTGTAACCATGCCCACTTCCCATATAACGGTATTTTCGAAAAATGCAAAAACTGCGATATTTCAGTAAATATTAGATGCAAATTGTTGAAAATTAGTATGTGGAGTAGAATTGTGGTAAAAAATAATATTATTATGAAATTTTTAGAAAATGGGCGTGGTACCGCCCACTTAAGATGAAATGCTGTAGCAGCTTCACCAACCCT